GGCGGGAGCGCCCCCGCGCTCCCAAGTGGCGCACTGTAGCAGTGCGCCACCGGGCCGGCCCAGTATTTGCCATTTTAAAGTTATTTAATAATTGAAAAATAGACTATTTTCAAGAAGTACTTGTAAAAATGCATTAGATTTTTCTGTTACTTTGGAAGTTATAACTGTGTGTGTTTCAGTATACCTTTACAACCAGTGTTATTTGCTCCCAGCTTTCCTATTTCAGCTTTCGTGTTTGAAGTTTTGTTGTCATTACCTTGGCTCTGGGATGTCTGAGAATAGGCAATAATATATTCTTTCTGCCCTTTAGTACTTTCCATTCTTTTGATCTAGTTTATTGCTTGATAGACCCTGGAAAGCACAAAAATGCATAACTACTTTTTTCATTTCTTCTGTTTTATAAATTAATCTTTAAGAGATTTCTGACATTGTCAGCATCAAGTCATATGTTTTCTTTCAGCGGCATCTGGAAGTAGCAGCAACAGCAGCAGCCCACTGGCAGGGGTGTCCGTTAAGTCTCCAAATCAGAGCCTCCGTCTTGGTTTGTCCAGATTAGCACGAGTTAGACCTTTGCATCCAAATGCCACTAGTAGCTGAGTGTAGTAGCAAAGAAATGTTTGATTGGGAGAATCACAGTTTTACCAGCGTGTTTATATTTGATTAGTGTTTGTATTTTAGGAGGGCATTGTAAATATAAAGAAATTATTTAACATGTCATATAAATGATCTCTACTCATTTTGTGATTGTGTTCTCTGAAAAGTTATTAAATACTTAAGTAAGAGGTTTGCTTATAAGAATTATCTTCTCATACCATTTCTTTCTGAAGATACTCTATTTTCCTTATGTATAATAAGCCATTGTCATTAAGTGGTTGTCAGTTTGACATGGAGGAAGTCCACATCAAATGCTGCTCTTTTCTGGTAACACGATCTTTCTTTCTAGCTTCAGTGGATGGCACCTTAACTTTAACTGTTCAGAGTTTATCTAGCAAAGGGAAGCATCCCCATTTCTTTCAGGAGACGTTTCTGAAATCTTATAAGCTGCTTAAGCCATATTGTCAGTTTTATTGCAAAGATGTTTTGTAATTCAGCCAAATCTTTTTAAGTAAGTATTCGGAATTATTTTACACATTAAAATGGTTTGTTGTACTATGGCCTATGTCTCCTATTTAGAAATGGATGGTTATCGTATAGCAAATAGAATTTAATGACAGTCTTTATGAAGTCTTTATTATCAAAACCTTTAATAATAATAATAAAGTTTTGAAATGCTCTTTTCATTGATCCACTTGTCTCTTATTGTCTGTATTTCATGATAAAATGAGTTCTGCAAAGAATGTTAGCCTTTTTGTTGTAAATATAAACAGGGGAAGCTGCTTTTTAAAATAATCACATTATGTTAGCCAGTACTGTAGAGAGTGGCTGTCAAATACTAAGTCATCCCTATTATGTTATGATATTAGATGACAGAGCTTTTTAGGAAGCTTAGATCTGAATTGTGAATAAAAATAGTGATGAATATTTTATGTTTATGGTGAGAATTTCAACCAGCTCCGGATCATCACTTTTTAATAAAAATTTTTAAATCTTGTTAACTATTAAAAAAAATGTATAATACTTATTTCTTCTAGCTTTATGGAAACATTTATGATAACAGGAAAATAAGTAATTTAGAATTGTGATTAAAGTGAGCATTTGCTTATTGGTGGTGTTGTACTTTTTTTCTCATCTAGTGTATATTTTTATACTGTCATATACCACCTCACCTACCCTGCCCACCCTCCTTTGTAAAACATATGAGTATTGTTACGTAGTACTGAGATACTATGTATGGTGCAGTTTAACAGTAAACGTTGAGAGCTTACTCTGTATTAGGTACTGATGTCATTGATTAATCATCTGGCACCAGCTTGATGAACCTGTTTTTGCCATATTATTCATATTAGTAGTTTCTTTCTATTTGAAAATTACCTCAACGTCTGTTAAAACTGGCCTGGCTGAAAGGACTAATGACCTTCAGTTGCCAAACCCAGTCTACATTTTTCTTACCCAATCTTATGCACTCTATTCAGCATACCCTAATGAAAACATTTTATTTCTTTGGCTCATGTGACATCTTTCTTTTGTGGTTTTCTTCTCACTGACCTGCCTACTCTTCATTATTTTGCAGCTTCTAATCATTTGTGTCACCTACACCCACTTCTCCTACCACAGTGTCATGCTCCGTGCAGTTCTATTCTTTTCTCCACCTCTTTTTTCTTTTTTAGCTTAGGTGACTTCAAGTTCCAGTGGTCACTTATGTGACAGTGACTGCCGAGTTAAGATCTTTAGCCCACACCTAGTTCTTGACACAAGCCCTGTTGCCTGGTACTTTGATAATATCATGTAGTAAGTCAGTCACTAAAATCAAATCTTCCCTTATTCCTGAAGGCTTCCTTCCCAAGTTTTCTTTTAGTAAATGGCACCACTGTGAGTGCACGTGCTTAAGGTATAATCCTGGGATTTAGTCTGTTCTCTTTCACCCTTCATGTCCAGTCACCATGCTCCATTTCATTTCCTAAATTTCTCAAGACTGCTCTTCCATCTGCTCTCCTTTACTCTGAAACATCACGTTACTACTAACAGGCATCCTTTAATTCTTAACCTACTTTTGGCTACCCCTATATTGTATTGCCACAGGGAGATTTCTAAAATAAAATCTGAGCGTGAACCCTTCCGCTTATGCCCACACACATGCACCTTTAGCCTGTCTGGTTCACAAGCTGCTCTGCTTCTGGCTGGCCCCTGCCTGTTTCTTCAACCTTGTCTCGCCTGCACCTGTGCACCTTTGACCCCTACGCCACCACACTGGCCACTGGCACCAGTGGTACCAGGCTTTCCCACGGCTCTGTGACTTCAGGCTGATGTTTATTTGCCTTCTTGAAGACTCAGATTCAACTCAGCTCTCAAGAAGCTTCATTTGAATGTGTTTTCTCCCTGGACCAGACTGTACTCCAGCCAAGCTGCTGTCAGTCGGTGATGACTTCACTTTTCATGCTTTCCTAAACCTGGTGCCAAGTAAGCGCTCAAAAGTGTTCATCTGATGAATAAATTATATCCAGAACTTTCTAGGTACTTGCGATAAGCACTTTCTTTGAAGAGGGGGAGGGTAGGAATAATTTCACGTGTATGATCTGCTCCACCAACTTTAATCTCTATCCTGGGATTTCTTTGAATTCTTGCTCTATACTTTAAAGAGTTGGGGCAAGAGAATAGGAGTAGGACGGAAAGGGTTCTGTTCTTCAGGCTGATGTGAAAGGTGGTTTGGGAGCGGACCAGAGCCCCAGCCCTCTCGGCTCCGGAGTCACAAAAAGGGCGGAGATCGTTTCTATAGCGACGGCCCGAGGGCGTGGTCCCGCCCTGCGCTCTCCACGTGGCTCTCCGCAGCCCTGCGGCGGCC